AGGCTGCTGGGCAGGCTGCTGGGCAGGCTGCTGGGTAGGCTGCTGGGTAGGCTGCTGGGCAGGCTGCTGGGCAGGCTGCTGGACAGGCTTCTGTACAGGATGCTGGACAGGCTGCTGGACAGGCTGCTGGGCAAGCTGTTGGACAGGCTGCTGACAGGCTGCTGGACAGGCTGCTGGGCAGGATTCTGGACATGCTGTTTGGCAGGCTGCTGGACAGGCTGCTGGGCAAGCTGCTGGGCAAGCTGCTGGGCATGCTGCTGGGCAAGCTGCTTGACAGACTGCAGGACAGGCTGTTGGGTAGGCTGCTGGACAGGCTTCTGGGCAGGCTTCTGGGCAGGCTGCTGGGCAAGCTGCTGTACAGGCTGCCGGGCAGGCTGTTGGGCAGGCTTCTGGACAGGCTGCTGGACAGGCTTCTGGACAGGATGCTGGACAGGCTGCAGGACAGGCTGCTGGACAGGCTGCAGGACAGGCTTCTAGACAGGCTGCTGGGCAGGGTGCTGGGCAGGCTGCTGGACAGGCTGCTGGGCAGGCTTCTGGGCAGGCTGCTGGGTAGGCTGCTGGGCACGCTGCTGGGCATGCTGCTGGGCAGGCTGCTGGACAGGCTTCTGGGCAGGCTGCTGGGCAGGCTGCTGGACAGGCTGCTGGACAGGCTGCTGGGCAAGCTGTTGGACAGGCTGCTGACAGGCTGCTGGACAGGCTGCTGGACATGCTGTTTGGCAGGCTGCTGGACAGGCTGCTGGGCATGCTGCTGGGCAAGCTGCTTGACAGACTGCAGGACAGGCTGTTGGGCAGGCTGCTGGACAGGCTTCTGGGCAGGCTTCTGGGCAGACTGCTGGGCAAGCTGCTGGACAGGCTGCCTGACAGGCTGCCTGACAGGCTGTTGGGCAGGCTTCTACCTTACCTACCTTGAGGTGCTTCTGGGGCTTAGCATCCCCGCGGCCCGGTCATCGACCAGGCCTCCTGGTTGCTGGACTGATCAACCAGGCTGTTGGACGCGGCTGCTCGCAGCTGGACGTATGAGTCACAGCCTGGTTGATCAGGTATCCTTTGGAGGTGCTTATCCAGTTCTCTCTTGAACACTGTGAGGGGATTGCCAGTTATGCCCCTTATGTGTAGCGGAAGCGTGTTGAACAATCTCGTGCCTCTGATGTTGATATAGTTCTCTCTCAGAGTACCTGTTGCACCTCTGCTTTTCAACGAGGGTATTCTGCACATCCTGCCATGTCTTCTGGTCTCATGTGATGTTATTTCTGTGTGCAGGTTTGGGACCAGCCCCTCCAATATTTTCCACGTGTAAGTTATTATGTATCTCTTCCGCCTGCGCTCAAGGGAGTACAGATTTAGGCTCTTTAGTCGGTCCCAATAGTTTAGATGTTTTACTGAGTGGATTCTAGCAGTAAAGGATCTCTGCACGCTCTCCAGGTCAGCAATTTCTCCAGCTTTGAAAGGGGCTGTCATTGTGCAGCAGTACTCCACTCTAGAAAGCACAAGCGTTTTGAAAAGTATCATCATCGGTATAGTATCTCTAGTGTGAAAAGTTCTTGTTATCCAACCTGTCATTTTTCTTGCAGTTGTGACGGCTACTTTATTGTGTTCTTTAAAGGTAAGGTCTTCCGACATGAGCACACCCAGATCCTTTACATTGCCTTTTCGTTCCATGTTATGATTTGCCTGAGTTTTGTACGTGGTTTCCGTTTTTATATTTTCATTTTTTCCATAGCGCATGAGCTGGAACTTATCTTCGTTAAACACCATATTATTTTCTGTAGCCCATAGAAAGACCTGATCTACATCTGACTGGAGGTTTGCCGTGTCCTCTATGTTGCCTACTCGCATGAAGATCCTAGTGTCATCTGCAAAGGATGATACAGTGCTAAAGGTTGTGTTCTTGTCTATGTCCGATATGAGGATGAGAAAAAGTACTGAAGCAAGCACAGTACCCTGGGGACTGAGCTCTTAATGGTTGATGGGCTGGATTTTATTTTGTTGACTATTACACATTGGGTTCAGTTGGTCAGGAAATTGTAGATCCATTTGCCTATTTTTCTGGTAATTCCTTTTGAACGCATTTTATGTGCAATAACACCATGGTCACATTTATCAAAAGCTTTTGCGAAATCTGTGTAAATTACATCAGCATTTTGTTTGTCTTCCATAACATCTAATGCCATATCATAGTGGTCCAGCAACTGCAACAGGCAAGAGCACCCTGTTCTGAAACCATGTTCTCCAGGGTTATGGAGATGCTGTGATTCCATGTATTTTGTGATCTTACTTCTTAGCACTCAAAAATTTTTATGATGTGCGATGTTAGTGCTATCGGTCTGTAATTTTTTGCCTCTGCCTTATTTCCTCCTTTATGAAGTGGTGCTATCTCTGCTGTTTTTAGTGTATCAGGAATAACGCCAGTATCTAGGCTTTGTCTCCACAGAATGTGGAGGGCCTGCGATAGTGGTTTTTTACAGTTCTTGATGAATATGGAGTTCCAAGAATCCGGGCCTGGTGCAGAGTGTATAGGCATACTGTTTATGGCTTCTTCAAAATCCAGTGGGGATAGGGTGACGTCTGATATATGATTTGATGTTGGTATCATATTCATGAAAAATTCATTTGGTTTATAAATCTTTAGTGCGTTTAATGGCTCGCTGAAAACAGTCGTACTGATTCCTCAGTAGCTCGCTCATTTCTTTGTTGTCATCGGTGAAAGTTCCATCTCCCTTTCGCAGGGGCCCGATACTAGATGTCGTTTTTGATCTTGATTTTTCATAGGAGAAAAAATATTTCGGATTTCTCTCTATTTCACTGATGGCCTTTTGCTCTCTTTGCCTCTCCTGGGTTTTGTATGATTCTTGTAGCTTGCGTTCAATTGCTTCTATTTCTCTACCTAACCTTCTTCGCCGTTCTTGAGATAGGGTGCGACTCTCAAGTTGTTCCGCGATTCGTTTTCTTCGCCTATATAGGGAACGACGTTCCCGTTCCAATCTGCATCTCTTCCTCTTTTTTCTTAGAGGTATGCGGTTTGAACATATTTCTAGTGCTACTGAGCTAATTTTTTCCAGGCACTGGTTCAGGTTTGCATTTTCTAGCTGTTCTTCCCAGTTTATTTCTGTGAAGTCCGGGTTTATTTGCTCCCAGTTTATCTGTTTATTATTGAAGTTGAATTTGCTGAAATCTCCTTCACCGGGAATCTGGACTGGTTTTGAAGGTCTACTCCCCATGGTTGTCATAAATTATATGTATATATTTGTATATTTAATATATATAATACTATATGTATACCGTATATTTGTAATATTATGTATGTTATTTTGTTCAAACTTTATGGCAGGTACTTAGCGTAGGGTAGCGAAGCTGGTCCCCAGTGGTGCGGTACAGTTGACCTCTTGTTGTCCCAGGTTGATGTCACCAGTTTCCAGTTACTCAATTTATAACCACTGATGCCGCCTCTTGCCACTATTCTATATTTCTAGTATTCTATATTTATAATATTCTATGCACGATTTTCCTTCACTTCCAACTTATATGTTGTTGTGATACCCGTTCCACTTCACTGTTCCATGCATCACTGTTCACTATTTTTTTTCCCTCATACACGCATGTACACAAAGCCTCGTGCAATGCCTCACACGTGGTCTCCCGTTTATTCTCTATTTAACACAAAGTTCCATTGTTAATGACTGTTTTCAATTTTCCAGTGAATCACTATGCACTTTGTTATGTCTGTAATCAGTAATCCACGGCAGTAGTCCTAAGAAATCCCGGTTAATGTCACGATTTTAACAGAGCGTGCACGATATGTCTTCCCCCTCCCTCCTCCTCGACTCGCCTGTCTTCTGGGCAGGCTGCTGGACAGGCTTCTGGACAGGCTGCAGGACAGGCTGCTGGACAGGCTTTTGGACAGGCTGCTGGGCAGGCTGCTGGACAGGCTGCTGGGCAGGCTGCAGGACAGGCTTCAGGACAGGCTGCTGGGCAGGCTGCTGGCCAGGCTGCTGGCCAGGCTGCTGGACAGGCTGCTGGGCAAGCTGTTGGACAGGCTGCTGTACAGGCTGCTGGACAGGCTGCTGTACAGGCTGCTGGGCAAAATTTTGGACAGGCTGCTGGACAGGCAGCTGGACAGGCTGCTGGACAGGCTGCTGGGCAGGCTGCTAGTCAGGCTTCTGGGCAGGCTGCTGGACAGGCTGCTGGACAGGCTGCTGGACAGGCTGCTAGACAGGCTTTTAGGCAGCCTTCTGGACAGGCTGCTGGACAGGCTGCTGGACAGGCTGGTGGGCAAGCTGCTGGGCAGGCTGCTGGACAGGCTGCTGGACAGGCTGCTGGGCAGACTGCTGAACAGGCTGCTGGACAGGCTGCTGGATAAGCTGCTGGGCAGGCTGCTGGACAGGCTGCTGGGCAGGCTGCAGGACAGGCTGCTGGACTGGCTGCTGGACAGGCTGCTGGACAGGCTTCTGGGCAGGCTACTGGACAGGCTTCTGGGCAGGCTGCTGGACAGGCTGCTGGACAGGCTGCTGGGCAGGCTGCTGGGCAGGCTTCTGGACAAGCTGCTGGGCAGGCTGCTGGACAGGCTGCTGGGCAGGCTGCTGAACAGGCTGCTGGACAGGCTGCTGGGCAGGCTGCTGGACAGGTTTCTGGGCAGGCTGCTGGGCAGGCTGCTATGCAGGCTGCTGGGCAGGCTGCTATGCAGGCTGCTGGACAGGCTACTGGACAGGTTTCTGGGCAGACTGTTGGACAGGCTGCTAGGAACTAAGAGGAGGAAACATGAGCCAAGTTTACCAGATGGAATAATATTGAAATTATTGTATACTGTCTTCTTAAATTTGAATTTGCATTAGAAGACGTTGGAAATGCAGGTTACTAAATCTTCATGTATACCAGTGACTAATAATAATGCTTTTCTCTGGTTTTAATTGTGTCAGTCATCTTAGAAATATGTCCAGAACTGTAAATAGATGAGAATTTCATGGATGACAATTAGTAGCAAATAATTCTTCTTGATATTACAGGAATACAGTGAATGTCTTAAAGGGGAAATGCCTGTTAGTCTGGTTAAACTGTGTGGCGTTGTCTCCAACATTTTGGGGTTTAAAGATTTCCATGCTGAGGCAGCAATAATCAACTATTATCATCGCGACTCAACGCTGGCACCACATACGGATCATTCAGAACCATATACGGAGGCTCCTCTCTTCTCATTCAGGTAAACTGATCTCCATTACACTAGTACATGTGTAAGTCACTCAAAATGCCTTTTTCAGGGAACGCTGGGAGCTCGTGTGGCTCCCTGAAACTCTCACCCAGATGGCTGCTAACTACAAGATTGCATCAGCTGTGAAGTTCAGTTCAGCCTAAAATGGGACCAGAGCCCCCCTCATATAAGCACATGAATCAGGTGACACTCCTCCACTTCACCTGGGAAGGCACCCAGAAAATCAGTGAATCTATACAAACCACTGCTGGGTGATCTGTATTGATTTGACTTAGTCCAAATCCTCACATACTGTCAGATAAAACTCGCCCAGCAATGAAAACAAACCATAAAAAATATCTCCAAACAAGCATGCACACGTTCGCCCTCTCCCTCTTTTGGGGATGGAGGGGTGGAGGAGCTCATGCTGTTCACTGGTACAAACCCTCAATATTTCTGCTGATGCGACGCCTTCCTTACATTTGCAGTAGGCCCCCATGGTCGTCAGTAGCTGTGACTGGCCCCAGTGCTTTTTTCAGTGGTGTAGTGTGGCCCTGGCCTTTTGAATGCTTAGAGCTGTATGTGCTTAGGGTTACCTTCCCTGAGTGCTTTCTAGCTCTACCTCTGCAATGACAAAGTTCTCTTCTCTTCTGTGCTTGGGATTTCATGCTCTTTGAGGTCCTCCCTGCTTGGGGGTAAACCTTAAGTGAGTCTTTTGTTTTTTTGGCGCCCTCATAACCCCCCCCCCCTCCCCCCCCGTCTTGAGCCCGATTGGGAGCGAGTGTTGGCTGGTGGGCCACACTGGTGCCTTACATGCTTGCACTTACGACGCACTGAAATCTGCCATTACAGCATTGTAGCCCAGGCTGTGTCAGCTTACCTTTATGTCCAGCATGGCATCCCCAGTGCCAAGGTGTCCTCCTTGGTTTACCCTACATGCCCTGGGAATTTTCTATGGGTTCGGTGAGGCCAATGGATATCCCCTCCATGACCATTCTCGCTTCATGCAGATTTGAGGGTTGTTCATCATTCATGCCACGGGGTGATGATCATGCATTCTGCCTCAGTCATGCTGCATGTTGGGGTGATAAAACCAATGATGCCGAGTCCTGTGGGGTTTGTGTTCCACATGTGACTTTCCTATCTGGCGTCCGGATGAAGTTAATGCACATTATGCGGCTACCACTTTGTGGGTTCATTTTGTCACCTCCAGCAATCTAGGTTGTGCTCTTGGTTTGATGCCTTGTCTTCGTTCATTTTAATGAGGGCGTTTTGCTTCAGTGGAAAGTGTTTTTTATACCCACTCCTTGTATAAGTTTGATTTAAATGCTGCTCCACATAGGGGGATTACTGCAGGCTGTTAGGCCCATTAGAACCATCTTTCCAGAGGTTTCTTTCCTCTTGATTCCCTTAATTGATAGCCCGTGAGGATCTCTTTAAGTACCTCCTGCGTGACCCAGAGTTTTCCTCTTTAAGTACCTCCTGCGTGACCCAGAGTTTTCCTCTTTAATGAACCCTGCCTGTTTTGAGTTTGGATATTTTTCTCCTAATTGTGGATGTATTATAATGTCCTAAAATCATCCAGGCTAGCAGACAATCCTATCTTTTTCTTTGGGGCATGGCATGGCTTTTAGTGTTCCAACATACTCAAGTGGTGTGTGGTGGCGACTTATGTTTTGGAAGTTTTGAGTGGCTCATCATTTGGGTCACTCAATGACTGTCTGTTTGCTCCGACTCTAATCGGGATGTGTGCTCGGTGCAACTCCATGCCCATGGGACTTTGCTGTTAGTGGACCTCATAGCAGAGGACTTTCATGCACACTTGCATATGATTTTGGTCATGAGATTTCTGGCCATCGTAGAGCCTCTGATTAGTTATGTAAAGACATTGCAGCACTCAGTTCTGGACCTGGTGTGTGTGTGTATGGCCTCTGCTGTATTCACCTAGTTGTATTCACCTAGTTGTGCTTGGGGGGATTGAGCTCTGCTCTTTCGGCCCACTTCTCAACTGTCAATCAATCAACTGTTACTAACTACTAACTAATTTTTTTTTCATCCCTTCCCCCCTAGGAAGCAGCCCATAACAGCTGTCTAACTCCCAGGTACCTATTTACTGCTAGGTAACAGGGGCATCAGGGTAAAAGAAACTCTGCCCATCTGTTTCCGCTGGCGCCAGGAATTGAACCCCAGACCACAGGATTACGTATCCAGTGTGCTGTCCACGCAGCCACCAGTGCCTCATTGGCTGGTGTGTGCATTGTCAGTTGCTTTGCCCAAGCTGTATGCACCCATACTCTGGGAGGCAGTGGCTACATTCTACAGTGCCTGCCTCACCTGTTGACAGACTGTTAGCCCAGAGTGGACTCGGCTTGAGCCCGTGTCCTCTTGTCCACCTGTCCCTTTTTGCCTGTCCTCATCTTGGAGGACAATGTTGGCCAATTTTTGTCTTCCACAGACACGTCTTGCTGGCCAATTTCAGGTTTACTTTTCTCTAGAGGTTTTTGTTCTCATCCCTGGCAGTGGTCGTGTACTGCTGGGACCTCTTCTATTGATTGGGGCAGGCAAACGGTGAAGTCAGAATCTGGGTTCCATGCCCTTCACATAGGCCAGTTCATTCTCGGCTGGTCAGCATCATTCTTGCGCTTCATGTAAGGTTCCAGCTTCACATGGTTCATTCCAGCTCTTTCGTGGTTTACCCCTTTGACAGGGTGGTGGGGGAGGGAACAACTAGCCCAGTTTGCCAACTCTTGATCCCACAATTTTTGGATTTTCTAGTAGTTTGGTGCCCCCTTTGGTTTAGCTAGTCAGTTCCTCTCTCTTCCCGGGAATTGGGGCTCTTTGAGCATACCTCTTTCCCTCGCTTGCATCAGGTCATCTCAGAGTGGGTTGCCTCCAGCATAGTGGAAACAATCAATCTCTTTGGTGGATGTTCCTTCTCTTGCCGGTTCCAAGACAGGACTCGGTGGAGCTCCAGTTCATCCTCAATCGTTTAGGTTGAACCAGTTCTTCTCTTGCCCCCATGTCCCAAATGACCACTTCATCCCAGGTTTGCCTTTTATTGGAAACAGGCTCCTGGATGATATCCCTGGATCTGAAGGATGCATACTAGCATGTCCTTATTCATCCAGGGTTCAGGACATGGTTACGTTTCATTCTGGAGCATCAGGCTTGCCCCTTTTGGGTTTTGACCTTCGGGTTGAATCTGGTACCCCACATTTTCACCAGGTTGTCTCAGGTCATGGTGACTCATCTTCGTTTGCTGGAGGTTCGTATTTTGGCCTACTTCGATGACTGGTTGGTGTGGACCCCCCCCCCCTCCCAGTCAGTTTGCTAGCCAGGGATCTGGTTCTTTGCCAGTTTGACAGGTTTGGATTCCTGTTGAACTGACCGAAGTCCCAGCGGTGGGTTTTCGTTCTTATGGGCCTGGTTAACGTTTTGTTTCTTTCCAGCCTTCTCCTTCGTTTCTAGTGTAGAATGAGCTGTTCACCTGGAGACGTTGTGCTTTAGCAGGCTTTTGTTTGGTTTTTGTTTTGATTTGCCTGGTGGGGGTCTGCCTGGTGTGTCAGTAGGACCACTTGTAGGATTTTGGTAGCCCTTCACTAGGTCCCCGTGCTTGCATATGTCGCAGTTGTTCAGCTTTTAGTTTGTTTGTTTGGTAGCTTTGGGATAATCGGTTAGCAGTACCTCACCTGGGCTTACCTTATCAGTCAGCCTAAGGGCCCTGGAAACCCCCATTGGGGCACAGTGGACCTATGGAAGAGACCACAGAGTCCCACCTCGCCTTGTGCGAGTTTGAAGATTGCTCTGCCCACTTGTCTCAGGGTGACACTCACTGTCTGCCTCTGCCTTGCTACCTGTTGGGTCAGTGACACCTTTGACCCAGAGTCCTGTGAGTGGTGTTCTTTGTTTGTACTCCATTCACCCAGTTACTGAGACTGAAAATTGGGTGCAGGCAGCTTTAGCGTTGCATGCAAGGTTTAGGTTACAGCAACATGCGAGGTTGGTTGCCTTTCTGGATGCCCTGCAGCTGCCCCGCTGGATTATACTGGTAGTGAGACTCGGGCGGCTTCGGGGATTGCCCCTTCCGGATCGTTGGCAGAGGCATTCGTGCCTGTTCCTCCTGCCGGAGCTTTTGGGCCACACCAGCTGGCCCCCTTCATCCCTGCTTTTCCGGTGGACTCTGCTTTTTCTCCAGAGGCAGAGGGTTTGGAGGACGGCTCGGCCCCGGGTCTTGACGTGGAGGATTCAGGGGCTGAGGAGGAATTGACTTGGGGGGCCAATCTCTCCTGCTCTGAAGGAGCAGGAGAGATTGGATTTGAAAGTGGATTAGAAAGTTCTCGTAATCCATCCTATCATTTTTCTGGCTGAAGCAATATTTGCTTGGTTATGCTCCCCTAAACGTTAGGTTGTCAGACATCATTATTCCCAAATCCTTGACATGCTGTTTTCCTACTATGGGCAGATTTGATTGTTTTTTTTACCCTGTATTATGTTTCAGATCCTCATTTTTGCCATACCTGAGTACCTGGAATTTATCACTGTTAAACATCATGTTATTTTCTGTTGCCCAATCAAAAACTTTGTTAATATCTGCTTGTAGTTTTTCAATGTCTTCAGCAGAGGTAATTTTCATGCTGATTTTTGTATCATCTGCAAAGGATGACACGATGCTGTGACTTGTATTTTTGTCTATATCTGACATGAGAATATGGAAAAGCAGCGGTGCAAGGACTGTACCTTGAGGTACAGAGCTTTTAACTGCACTTGGACTCGATTCTATTTGGTTGACTGTTACTCTTTGTGTTCTGTTCGAAAGGACAGAAGACAGCCCCCTTCCCTCCCTCCGGTCGACGGAATTTTGTGTTTTTGATACTCAGCCTGAAAACTGAGGAGAGTTGCCGGCGTGGAGGTCTGGGATCCCCTCGCCCCCCTCCCAGGGAAGGGGGGGTGCAGAGACAGATGTGCGGTGTTTGTGGTGACATGATGTTTGTTTCCTTGTTTTTAATTGGGGA